TAATCTCAGGTAAGCACTAAAGTATTGTTCAATTTGTAGAGTGTCATTGGGGACCAATAAAAAAACTTGATGAATACAAAACAGTTTTTCTATAGGAAACCCTGGAATCTATTTCACACAAGAATGCAAATGCTTCTTGGACTGCGTTGCTAAGCATTGGTGATGCATTCGTGTCTGCATACTTGTGCATTTTATAAATGATTACGATTACGAAGTTTAAAATGCTCATTCTGTAGGTTTGTGAATTTCCGTGACAATCCTTTGACACATGATGTGACACTTCCTGACTTAAAAGAGGATGTAGATGAAGAAGAGAACGACAGGGAGATGTTTGGTCGCGAGTTCATGCACTTCTACATCCAAGAGGCCCGGAAAAGAGGTTATGCCGTACTCAATATGTATTGTGTGCAAAATTGGTAGCAGAACTTATTGTTTAATAAATGAAATAAACATGAAATTAAAGCCTTGAGAGCCCCTTAAAGACCAACTTTTGTGTTAAATGTCTCTTGCAGGATCCCAAACTTTTTCACATCAGTGCTAAATGTGATGTTGGAAGGCGTGTCAGAGACCGCATCTTCTTTGTGACTTGCATGCTGGCTTCTGTCTGCCTTCAGGCTTGATCTTCCGGTCCATCATGTCAAGTTTTGTTCTGTGAAGAGCACTTCACGTCTTTTAAATGTCTTGTCTATGCTGTTTGTTGGAGTTGCTGCTTTCTGCTAGTATGTCATAACTAATGTTTGTGGATGAGCTAAAATAAAATCCATAAACATTGATCAAATAAAAAGAAGCATATGTGTCCTGCACTTGAGCTTGTTTGTTTTGTTTAAGAAGGCTGTTGAGACTCCTCTCTATTCTGATTGGCTGCTGGAACGGCAGTTAGTAACACATTCTCCAATGAAATGTCTCTGCTTGTGTAGTATTTCAGGCTAGTTTCAAAGCCTTTTTGCTGAAGGTAATACACTCTGTTTACAAAGCCGTCCGATCTGTTCCCAATCTTCAACTGACATCAAACTGCAAGAAAAACGTTTACAAATGAGATAATGATCTTAATTGTATTGGTCAATCAGCAGAAAACTCACCTGTTGAGGGTATCTG